CAAAAAGTCAACGAGATGTTGTGATGGGTGATTACATAAAAGTTCTTTCAGTAGGGAGACATGAAGAGACGTTTGATACTGCTTAGGGAATAGTTTATTGGGGCACATTGCCTTGGCGTGAGCCCTGAAACATATTGAGCAGACATGCAGAAGTCTGCAGGCACTGTAACTGCAAGTGCCGGTGTTGAAATTGTTACAGACCTGCGATTTGCCCAAGAACACTTTATCACGGCCTAGTTTGTCTTTTAGCACCCTGCCAGATCTCCCTGTGGGTACCACATTAGTAGGTGAAAAAACAGCATTCACCTCAGGAGAATTAGGGCACAAATTAGCCGTGTGGGAATTGGATGAACAAATGGCACAAGCTGGAGTTTTCAGGCCCGCAAAGTGCCGGCAAAACAGCTCAGTATCAAGCACACCCCAATCAGCTTGAATATTGAACTGTGCTAGGGTGGCCGACGCCTTTGCGGAAAAAGCACGGTGGTAGTCGTAAAGACGTACCACCGTACTTGTGCCCCAAATCCACCAGCTTGTGGAGGTAAAGGTCCAATTCTTCCCTCCTATTTGGATATACAGAGAATAGCACGTCCCTGTATATTCCAAAAGCCAGTACAAATTCTGGAATCCATAGCTTCTGATTCAACCTGGGATCTCTGGACTTGAGAACCACCGACACATCCCCATATGCATAGGTCTTATTCTCAAGGACATCTTGTGAGGCTATCAGAAGTGATACCAGATTGATAACCTTTCCTTCCAAGATGTCCTTTTTGGTTTTAGCAGGCACCATGTGTGCTGGGTTAATTATATGTGAGTCTTTAGAACTAGTCGGTAAATAAGCCGGTAGGGGGTCCAAGCGCACCGCAGCAACTGGGCTCCCTGCAGCAGCAGGCGACCTTTGCTGGCTATCTGCGTCCATTTTGTCGAGTCTGTCCGTAATACGACCCAAAAAGGTCAGGACTGATGACGAAACTGACTGCAGATCTGAGGACTGGTTCCCGCTGGACCCTTCCCCCGCCCCAGTGTTATCAGTCTGGGTATTCAATAGTCTGTACAACTCAGCTTTCCTAGCTGTAGCAGGGAACAGAATATTTCTCTTCCTTAATTCAGCCGTGATTCTTGGAATAGTCCACGCCCTGAGTGATGCAGGGCTTGCGTTGTCGTCACCCCGAGATGGAGTGACCGATCTAGCCGGTGTACTGGCGATGGACACATCTTCCCTTTCTTCAGGAACTTGTGACATGCTACAACATAAAATAATATGTTACCTGGGGTGCTACTCAACTGGCTATTGTTATTAATGCCAAGCGGCGAAGAATTACTAAGCGACGTGACAGGTGAGGCCCTGCTAATGGCCAAGCGGCTTTGAGATGCACTATCTATGATTTGGCGCGTGTGGGATACGTGGCCATTGGCATTATGGCGGGGTGGTGGCCTCTCTGTGACTTGTAAAAGCATAAGACAGAATGGGAGTGACAAGTGAGGCCCTCCCTATGCAACCAAGCTATGCGGCTAGCTATGAATGGGCCCGAGGGGATGCCGTAACTCCGAATTGAGGATGGGTGTTGGCCTCGCGGGACCACTAACGTAAGGCATAGAAGGCCAGAAAAACATACCTAGTGGGTCCTATTTTAGTATAAACCCGAAAGGGTAGGTAGGGAGGGAGAAGTAGTCGAAACATGACGTACCTGCTGAGTAAGTTGCCAGATAGTATGAGAAGAAGTGTACAGGCGATCTGTCATAATCTACAAGAGTAATTGACGTTTGTATGGGTAAAATAAAATAAAAATGTGCCCCTAAATCCCCAGCTAATCTGATATCTACCAGTAGTACTTCACTAGTAGTGAAGTTTTGCAGAAAGTAGGACAACGTGACCCAGGTGAGCTGTAGTAACCTAGGAGAGTAACATGAGTTTGTAAGGGTTAAAATATGTAGCTCTCAACCCCCTGCTGATCAGATACCTACCAGTAAATATTCCAACAGTTTAGGTGACTGGAACCCAAATACTCAAAAGTGCTAGGATGCTTATACCTAGTAATACAGAAAATACCTATGAGGAATCTGATCTAGCGTGACCCATTAAGGTATATTTAAATAGTGAAAACTGACCTATGTTGAGTGAAACAGTTGGTGGGGTAGCAGAACCCAGTGGAATTGCTGTAGAACACTGAAATACAAGAGGTCCCTAATCAATTGACCGTTAAGCATGTTGTGACAATATGTCCCGTATATTGATACTCATATGGTGCACATAACACTGGACTACCGATACTGTAATCCTACAAACAATTGATGTCGTGATTGTGACGGAACGCTGGCACTCTGACTGAGTACCTCCGCCAATCGATGCTCCTAGCGCTTGCCGAGGACTCCAAGCACTCCAACCAACACCACCAGCACTGCAGACCCCACTTCCAGCGATGCAACTGCGCTGGGGTCTCTGCTGTCTCCACCCACCCTGGACCCAAGGCCAGGATGCAGCTTCCAGTGGGTGAACCTCTCTTTCCCCAGAGAGCAGGAACAAGCTCTTAGCAGAACTTAGTGATCATACCCTGGGGAGTATAGTGATTATAGCAATCCCCAGAGTGTATTTCTCCAATCCCCCAAACATGAGCCAAGGCTTAATGCTGGAACAAGACTGATTTACTGGCACACAGAACTCACAATTTATGCAACACAAAACTCCTCCTCTGGGCCAGGCTAGATAATTGAGTTTCTACAATACACAAAGCTCAATTATCTGCTGGCCAGAAATAATACAGTTTCATAAAACACACAGGGACCCCAAAACATGCAATAACCCCATAAAAAGTATATCCTTGGAACCGGGGGATCTGGGTGAACCACATATCCAAAATTCACCCAGATCCATTCAGTACTTTGGAAAATACAGTTTAATGCAGATTCTGCAGAACATATACAGGCTAAATGAAAAACAATCACTGTATAATGTGTCCCCTGCTGTATAGTCCAAAACCACTGCACGATGTCTCTGTGCACCAAATACTGGCGAGATGGCACCGTGTTGAAAAGTCCAAACAGTGTCTGTGAGTTAAAATGGCCGCCATCCATTGTTCTCACCATGTGCTTCTGATACAGGAAATGGTGGCCACCCAGTAACTCCACAGTATGTCCCCAGATGGTTCTTAAAGGGCCAGCAGCAGCACAACACAAATCCATTATGCCCAAATCATGTCTTTAAAGGGCAATACATCCCAGGGGCCATAGTCACAGGGCAAGAGGCGGGCAAGCAGTCCTCTCCAGGCACAAGTGGCGAAGGGCACTTCGTCACAGTGATTATAACCCTTCTGACCACCAGGGTTGTGTAAGCAACTAAAACAGTACTGAAACCGGCCACCAGAGGTCTCCCTAGTGCCTATCATAATTATACCATAGAATAGACTAGAGATTCGGCAAACGAAACGGTCATAAGGTGACCAAGTGTAAATGCATTGTCCAACATGTTAAAAAAAAACAAAAAACATCTTTAACGAATTGCCCAGCATATCTTTAGAACCAGCAGTGTTGTCATAAGAAATCTTATAATCATAACTAAATTAGAAGCAAATCGTGCTATTTGTCATAACCTTTTATGACCACCAGGGGTCGTGGAACGTTACTTGAGAGAGAAATCAGTGACAATGAACCAGCCACCAGAGGTCACCCTAGCGCTTACAACAAGTTGTAACATAAAATGTGAAAAGCTTTCGGCAAACGAACGGGCATAAGATGAATGTAACGAATTGCCCCATACGAAATAATATGTAAAATGCTATATCCGTATACAAGCCGTAACCGAATGCCGGCATTCGTGTGAATATTTAACGAAGAGTTATTATGTGTGCGACCGTAGTATTAGGATGACGTAAACCGACCGCGCCGAAATTGCGACGGCCGTATAACTTACGATTTTGCCGCAACGAAAAGCGCAGCGAACCGCCCGGCCAGGAAATGAAGCCAGACAGGCAAAACCGGAGGAGACAGCAGTCGTTGGGACCCTGGAAGCTACCCACGGAGATACAGGTAAGCAGTATGGCGCCAGGACAACCGGAAGTGACGATCTCTCTACCCATAATTCGCCAGACCTAACAGGTAATGAGGGAAGGGTTGGTGCTCCTTAAGAAGGGGAACCAAGCCCCCCTCACAACTTCAGGCCACGCATTCCATATATATATATATATATATATATATATATTATTACAGTGGATTTTCCCTAGGTCAGCTCATTTAGGAAGATCTCATTTTAAGAAGTAAGTTCATTTTATATTAAATACTTTGTTGATTAATATTTGAATTCTTGTTTATTAGATTCCTTGCTGCGGAGATTGCGTGTGGACTCCAATATCTCCACCAACACGACATTGTGCATCGGTAAACACATCTTCGTTAAACAATATATTAATAAGCTTGCTCTATCTACACTGTGCTGTCCTTTTTTATCAATATTGTTTAGCTACATTTTTACCTTTCTCTCAGGTGAGTTAAGATTTTTTTGCTCATACACTTCAGCTGTAAGAGGGCATTTTACAAACCGTTTCAACTTAATACTAAGAAGAGGCTTTTTACTTACGTTTGAGAAAAAAAATGTACTCGTGTTGGGCAGAGCAGAAAAAAGGAAGGGCAGGATAAGAAAGAGAGAAGCAGAATGGTCATTTCTAGTCCAACTGATTAAGAGAAATGTAGAAAACTGCATTAATTAAAACTAAATTACAAAATCCTTTTTTAAATTGTCTCCTAAATTCAGGTATAAGCAGCCTGTTTAATTTCTCTGTGAATTGATGGGGCATTATTTAATTGATTGGCTATAGCTCATAAATAGATTTGTACACACTTCCAGAATTTTACTATTAGTAAGCCATGTAAACGACCTGTTTCATGACAGATCTTCAAAAAACTATAAATCTTATGATATTTCTCTCTACAGAGACATAAAGCCAAGGAACATAATGCTGGATGAAGCGGGTCACATCAGGATAGGCGACTTTGGACTGGCGCTCGAGATGCATGGCAAGAGGACAGCAAAGGGTTACGCAGGCACTGTAGATTATATGGCTCCAGAGGTAGGATAGACCATGGCTACTGTTTGGGTTTGAGGCTACATGACTTGATCATATTACATCTCACCAAGAGCAACAATCACTCTGTAGCTAAACAGATCTTTATAGCTATGAAGATGAAGAACTAGAATTCAACATTTTATCAATGTAAACACAATGTCTGAACACTACTTCAGACAACAGGGCGCCACAGCCACTATAAATATATATTACTGAATATAGGAGATTCCCATAAATGAAAAACAATCGGTGGAAATACAAAGTCCACTGTATTGCATATAAAGAACAATAGTACACAATAGTGAAACAAGCACAGTGTATATAAAATAATATAAAACTAAGTACACAGCCAAATTGGCCAAGAGCCCCTAAGGGTAGCAGCTATAAACATACAAGTAACTACACTGATAGTAAAAGTGCAAAGTGCTAAAGTGCAAGGGTGCAGGGTACTGATAATACTGCTCCACAAACCAAAAAGAGCACAGTGCATACAATATAGGATGGAATGCAAATAGAGTACAATAGAGTACAGCGACTGTCCCAACCAGTCATATTGCTCCGAATCATTGCACATTTGTAGTGAAATATATATTTTTTATAAGTTGCCTATTCTAATAGGCAGACGATGAGAACAGCATTATATTTGACAGTAATACTTTCTTTCCTGTAAGGAAGCACTTGACTAATCATTTCTGAAATTATGTTGGCAGATGCGGAAAGGAAGAAAATATAATGCTGCAGTAGATTGGTGGGCCTATGGTCTAATCCTTCATAAGCTGGCCAAGAGAGCATTTCCAAAAAATCCAAATGCTGCCCAAACAATGCTTCATGACACCACAGACCATCCTGAGTGTCAAAGAAAACAGGTCAAAGATCTCGTGAAAAAGGTGTGTATGATCCGGCAGTCTAAATTAATGTCCTGAAAAAGAAAACAATTCTATGAAAAACTTACTCTTTGCACAGCTAAAAAAAGAGAACATTTATTTATAGAAAACTATTAACAAAGAGTGACACGGAATGCCCATAAATGACAATGGTGTATATATATGGTAATATCGATAAAAGATATATTAATTCAGTCAAATGCTTATAGCTCATACCAGCAGTCCATAGCTGGGAAGATTCCTTATAGTCATATAAGACAGGATAATATTTAAGGAGGGGATTTCAGGGAATGAAATTTATACACAACTAAACAATCAAAAACACAGTGATAAAATGACTAAAACTAAAGAGAATCGGGAACTGATTCTGGGTTAGGTAGTTTCTCCTATTGAGAGCAGGAAAACCTTAAACACTGCATTCAACATATGAAGTCGAGTGGAGATAAAAGCGACTGTACTAGTAATAATCTTGCACCTTTGATTCTTCGAATGTCCCTTTAACCTTGTGATACTGCATACAGATTTACAGATATCTATATTGTGTTTGCATGTGTTTTAGTCAATGTACAAAGGCAGTGGCAGTTTTATTGTTGACATTCTACTCTTCCATTTGCAGCTCCTGTGCAAAAATCCATCTCAGCGCTTGGGGGCAGCTAGCAGCATCCAATTCCATCCTTTCTTCCAGTCCATTGACTGGGATGAGCTGGAGGCTGGCAGGCTAGATCCCCCCTTTGTGCTAAGAACAGTAAGTATACGGAAACTTCAAATAGAGACCAGAAAAATCAATGTAACAAAATGAGTGACTAGTTTATGAAATAATAAGAGACGATCAAAGTTCAAATATGGTGTGACAGTGGATTACTGGTTGTTATTGTGACTTTGTATATCTGAGTATTTTAGGGTAATTAGCCCAGAAACACAAACAATATCTAAACTTGGCAGCACTGCAAGCTCTAAAGTGTCCTCTCCAGCCATATCCATACACCTCTGCCCCTGTCCCTAACAAAACAGTTGTGCCTGTCCCTTTGTACCCAACTATCTTAAAAAACCTCATAGGAAAGCACGGTGTGGAAGTCCTAATGGTGGGGTGGTGCTCACCGTTAATCAGCATTAGGTTCCCAGATCACACTGAGGTTGAAGAAAGAGGAGCCCGAACCAGCACCCAGGGACCCTAGCGCTGGAATCAGGTAAGCGGTTAAAAGGTTTTTTAGGCCTTTCATGTCCTAGGTGCAGTGTAAGCATAGGAAGACTGTAGTGTTAGGAAAACAGTTTTGCATTCCTAACACTATAGTGTTCCTTGAAACAATCTAGCCTTTAATTTTCCTTTTGTTCATTGCCACTATGGCTAGATCACTGTGATAATAGGAAAATTACACCAGTTTATACATTTAGCTTTTGGCATTCTGCAATCTCCCCCCGCCATCTTTTACATCCATATTGGTGTTCTTATACTGCTTTCTAGGAATGGTAACACTTATTGGATGTGTTCTTGTACAATGTGTAAATACTACAGTAACTTCTTATGTCTTCTCTTTATAGCCACCACTGGAGAGCTTAATATCACGAGTAATACAGGAGACACTAACATCTCGATACGAAGCATTTACTCCATCTATTCCACCAGAGCAGCAGCAGTTTCTTGGATTTTATTTTAACACCCTCTCCTAGCCTACTGCAGCATTATGAATTTTCTTCAACATCTCTTTCCCTGTTGACAACGATGGACCATGAAGAAAAGGTAAAGATATGGTGTTACGTTGTCTCCTGGGCTGTGGGTAGAGAGCTCCAAGCTGAAAAGGAGACCTGGTGAATAGTCTCCCTCCCACTGACTGATAAATTGTCACCGGATGAGGGTAGACCTGCCAAAAAATTGTAAAGTGGATGTCCAGCTTTTTAGTTGTACTCTAGTCACCTTTCGTTTACCTAGAAAGGGATAGTGCTGTAACATCAATATCACAGTCAGTGTTTACTTTCTTTTAAATTATGATTTGTGCAGTCAGTGAAGTAACTGGCTGTGTCAGTGAGATTTGGATTTTGTTTGTCTGTACAGGCAGTGATGTAACTGCTCTGTCAGTGTTTTTCTTTTCTTTTAACTATACAGGCAGAGAGGTAACTGCTCTGACAGTATTAGGTTTTATTTTTTTGCACAGGCAGTGAATTAACTGGTTGTGTCATTTTTTTTTTTCATTCACAATCCGCAGTGAAGTAAACTGCTGTGAATGAGATTTCATTTAATTGGGTTTTAGCAGCAAATAGTCAAAGTAACTGGCTGCTGTGATTTTTTTATTTAATTTTGCATTTTTACTTACAAACTGACTGTGATGGAAAGAAGCTGCACAAAGCTAGCTGCCGCACTGCTTTTTTTAATACTAGGTCAACGTTAATTTAAAATGCCCCACATTTCTTTTCATTCTAATTTTTAAAATTAAAAAAATTAGTTTTTGCACTGTCTCCGTTTCCATAAACTTCAGTAAGTAGGCAGGCCCAGACTGGCCATCGGGCAAACTGGGTGATTGCTGATGGTTCACGATGGCCATGGACTGGGGCTCTCCAGGGAGATCACACCATCTCCCTGCCAGCCCCTCCAGGGCTGAGCGCAAGGAGAAAGTTGCGTGGTCGGCAAAAAAGGGTTCCACAGTAGTCAGGGAAATCAAGCCTCTGTACTGCTGGGGAGCATGCAGTGAAATGCTCCCTGAAGTGATCAGAGCATTGCCGTGGGTTACCAAAGAAACGAAAGAGCACTGCTGGTGATGCAGTGCACCCATGAGGAACACTGGGGATCATTATTCCCATCCCTGGTAAGTCAAAGAGAGGGGATTGTAACAAATTAATATAATTATTTACTACTGTATGCTATTATTTTAAGCACCTCTCCACAGTACAGCCCCTTTACTCCATAGTGCAGCCCCTTTCCCCCTACTATACAACCCTTTATCACCCCACTGTGCAGGCCCTTATCCCTCACAGTACATTCTCCATACCCTCACTGTACAGCCCCCCATCCCCCACAATGCAGCCACTTACCACCCCCACAGAGCCCCCCCACAGTAGCCCTTTACCCACTCACTGTGTAGCCCCTTAGCCCCTGTGTGCATTCCCCTACCCCCCCCCCTACTATACAGACCTTTACCAACCCACTGTGCAGCCACTTACCCACACAATAAAGCCCATTATCCCCACAGGGCAGCCCCCACAGTGCAACACCCATTCCCCTACTACCCACAGTGCAGCCCCTTACCCTGCACAGTGCAGCACCCGTAACCCTTACTGTACACCCCTTTACTACTCCTTTCCTCTCACAGTGCAGCCTTACCCAAACAGCAAAGTCCCTTACTCCCACACAGTGCACCCCCTATCCACCACAGACATAGTATAGCCCATATCCATCACATGTAGTCTCTTCCGTATACACATACAAACACACACACACACACTCTACCATGTTTTAACACTGTCACTCTTATGATCTCTGGTTTGTGTCCCACTCATGGGGAAACCAGACACAAGTCACCAGCAAACACAAAAGACGTGTATCATAAGAATAGCTTTCACTGTGTCAAACACAGGACATTTTTGCCCATGTGAGGGCTCTTTATTAGAGCCCTGCAAATGGGCTACCCTTTAAGGGAAATGTCCTGACATGCCCACTTTGGGGTCAGTGCGTGCCGATGATGACTCAACATGACCCTTCCTATTTAGCTGCTCTGCCTTAAAATGCTAGGGCCGAATTATTGTCCTAGTCTGGCCCTGTATGTTGGTGCCTATTCGAATCATTAAACTACCAGGAGTTCTTCGCCACCAGCACTATGTGCCAGTGGAAATACAATTCCTTAATAGTAATGTGCTCCGTAGTATGCCACATCCATCTAAAATTTACACTACTAGGGATGCCAAGGTCTATTAAATATGTAATGCCTGTCTTGCCCCTCAGTCCATTTGGAAGTAATGGGCTAATATGATTTGTAGAATCATACAAGCCCCTGCTCTTAAACAAATTAAAAGCATGACATTTCCAATAACCCAGCCAGTAACTTTTAAATTAAAGATAGCCCAGACATGGGTTTAAAAAAGTGGCAAGGGGCGGGGCCTGACCGCAGGACTGAGAGGAAGCAAACCTCTGCAGCTCCTGCCGAACAGCGCAAAAAAGCGAGGAAAAAACCACAAAAACGACACTACTAAGCTAATCAAAGGCCACCAGGTGACAGACGACACCGGGACACATACGGCGATATCAAACGAGTGACAGATGCCCCGGTACGTACCGGCCACACGGATGAGGCCTACCAGCATGGCGGGAGCGGGAGGGACGGCCGCCCTCCCTCCACCAAGACAGGCCAGAAAAGTGCCCCAGAACACCCGTTCCCCCCCCTATGGACCGGTGGGGGTCATCCCGGTCCACCCCTACGCAACTCTCTGGCAGAGCGGGAGGAGAGAGACAGAGACAAGGAGGCACGGGACTCCCGCCTTTGCAGCCCGCAAGATGGCGGATGTCCCTCACACTGCAGGCCCAGGAGATGCGGAGCTCGACACGGAACTCAGACTGAATGCAATTTTCGCCGCGTTTTGGAAGAAGTTAGAGGCGCGCATGAGACCCCAAGCTCCTGAAGTCATCCTACAACAGGGCTCTCACGGAGCTGATAAGCGGGGAGTGCGGACCCCCGACCCCAGATACATGCCCGCAAACAAATGTCGCCTGCAAAGAACGGCCAGGAGGCCCAACACTCGGAGCCTCGCAAAAAGCAGCAGTGGACCGGGGCTAATACCTGAAACCGCACAGGTACTCAGGAAGCACCGACCCAAACAACCAGCCTTAGCAGCAAACAATCGGCATGAAATCGGACAAGGCAAACCTCGCCCGGAACGAGCGGTGGGTCAGCAGGGCAGAAGTCTCTACAAGATGACCGCGCTAAAGAGACAGTCCCAGAGCCGCAGCGAAGCACCCAACGCAATGGGGCTCACCAGGGGAAGGATCTGGCAAGGAGACATAGATGACGACCCGCACAAGATCCATCACGCCAGCACCACCCTCCGAGCATCAGGCGTGGGATGAACAACCCGGACTGGACTCTAAAAACCGTGAGCTCCATATTGCTCAGTATAAGGCTTCATATGTCATACCGCTTAACATACCTCGGACTAGATTCATCATTGCTATCTGGACTGTCCATTCAAAGCAGAACCTAGTTAACGCAGATCCTGTGTAAATGAGCAGACTCCAGCTATTAATATGTTTTCTTTTCTGTGCCATACCTGCCTCGCTCTCCTCTCACTCTCTTATAATAAGCAACAACTACATGTCATGCTTAATACGCTTGCACTATATCTTTTTTCATACATTCTTGCCTACTGAAACACCTTAATTGTAAAATTGAAGCATCTACATAGCATGCCATAGTATTGTTTTCTGTTGTGTTTCTTCCTCGCCACAAGCGTATATGTTTTACTTAGCATGCACTTCCTACTCATGCTATACTTACCTTAACACTTAATCCAGAAATGCGACGTATAGCCTGTAACCTAAGCATATTATTTATTTTGTTTTACTTTAATCTAACGATTTCACTGTCTAACCAAGCTTGTTACCATTACATAACATGGGTAATCTCTTAAGCCACTGTCTAATCTTAGTACTTCGTTCAACACGCTGTTGTGGCGTCAGTCAATGGATGTTAGACCTCTTAATTATCGTTACCTTTCCTATTTAAAAAATGTATGCATACCCTATATGCCACAATACTGTTATAAAATTGTTTTGGAAATCGAGCCTGCTGACGCTGTTGTGGCGATACAGGCACTGTTGTACCTATCTGCATACCAAAAATAAAGAATTATAAAAAAGTGGCAAAATTACCACCACTGTAGCTAGTGTGGCTGCACCAGTGCCTGCAGGGTTTGGGGGCCAATCGTGTGGTTCACCCATTTAGCAGCGTGACCCGGCCCCTTTAATGTCGGCAGAGGTTCCAGGAGCAGAGCCTGTGCCAGGGAAATGGTTGCGGTACCTGATCAGGGCAGCTCCGTGTGGCAGACGGAATTGATGTCATCAGTCAAACAGCAGCTCGAGCCGCGCAGAGTTGCCCTAAGAAGGACTGCACAAACTTCAGGAGGCTCTCAAGCAGGTACAGATGATAGCTTCATCCTCAATGGCTGGGGTGGGAGAAAGGAGGAGAATCAGTGACTATCTATAGGAGTTATTAGACTAGAAAGCTGTAATACCTATGGTGAAGAGAGTGGTGTACTACCTATGGGGAGAGGATGGGATACTACCTATAGGGGAGAGGATAGGATACTACCTATAGGGGAGAGGATAGGATACTACCTACAGGGGAGAGGATAGGATACTACCTACAGGAGAGAGGATAGGATACTACCTACGGGGGAGAGGGTGGGATACTACCTACGGGGGAGAGGGTGGGATACTACCTATGGGGGAGAGGGTGGGATACTACCTACAGGGGAGAGGGTGGGATACTACCTACAGGGGAGAGGGTGCGATACTACCTATAGGTGAGAGGGTGGGATACTACCTATGGGGTAGAGGATAGGATACTACCTATGGGGGGAGTGGGGTAATATTTATGGGGGAGAGGAAGAGAATGGAGTACTATTTATGGGGGATAGAATGCTGGTATTACCTATGCTGGAGAGAAAGGGATACTACTAATGGGTGT